GAGAGAGAGAGACTGGGAGGAGGAAGCTATGTGAGCACTTTTGCCAGCAGACTTGGAGCAAGTCAGATGGGCCTTAATAAGAAGAGCTAACTGGGTCATTAATAAGTGTGGATTAATAAAATAGATCAGTTAAATTATAAGAGCTAGTTAGGAAAAAAAACCCTAAGCTAAGGCTAAGCTTTCATAATTAAAAATAAGCCTCTGGGCCATTATTTGAGGGCTAGCAGTCCAGAGATAGTTGGACAAGAAAACTTGCTATAGTTAGTGCTCAATGTGGAGCATGTAACTCCACACAAACCCTGAGAAAGTTAGAAAAAAAGAGTTCCAAGTTTCTGAGTAGTCTCAGTGCTTGTGGCCTACAGAGGCCTGTCTCTTTTAGGAGGCCCTGCTACTGAGCACTTGACTGGTGTTTATGAGCAGCAGGCAGCATGCACCTCAATAGCAGGAGACTAGGTAGATGCACTCACTGGAGCTGCGGCAGGCAGACAGACCTGCTCCAGGCCAGGGGCCCACAGGCATGAGGCTCTGCTCTCAGTGATGGAGCCAGACCATGTGCTGAATGGAGCCACATGGTGGAGGGCCTACCTAGCTCCTTAGCAGTTTAAGGTTTGGCTCGTGTCATAAAAACAAAAACAAAACAATAACAACAAAAACCCTACCGTAGACACACAGAAAATCAGGCTCAGATTGAGAAAACCTCTAGACAGATGTAGCATGCTTAAAAATATGGAAAAAATGGCTATGGACAGTCATAGAAAAATAAATAGTTTAAAAATAATCAAGTGAGGTCTCTAAAGAAAGAGTAAAGTAATATAAAAAGGAAAAACACAAAAATACAGGAAGTAAACAGGTGTCGGGATCCTGTATGGTGCTTTGTTGACTTTGAATCTATAAACGGTAGTGAATGAAGGACAGTGGCTGCTGAAAGACATCGAATTATGGAAACTGCTAAATTAGACCAACCTATGTATCTTAAGAACGCCTTAGTTTCAGAATGGGAGTCGGAAAATATGTTGCATTGGAGGAGGGTTTTGCTTTTGTTTTCACAGGAAACAAAAAGTTATAGATTTCTTTGAAATTAATAAAGACCAGGTTTGATCAGGGGAGACCTTTTGAAAATCTTGGCTAAAGACATAAAGAAAGAAAAAAAAGAAAGAAAGAAAAACTACAAAACAGGTATACCAGGCTTTTTTTTTTTTCCTGGACCACTAACCAGTTCTCAAATCAAGACACAGAGACTTATTCTTAGTTATGAAGCTTGGCCTAGCTTAGGCCCATTTCTAGCTAGCTCCTTTAACTTAATTTAACCTGTTTCTCTTTATCTGTGTTTTGCCTCAGGGCTTTTTACCTTCCTTTCCTTCTGTATGTCCTACCTCATTGAGCTGGCTGATGACTGCCTGCCTGGCTGGTCCTGGACATCTCACTCTTTCTCCCTTGTTCTCTCCTTCTCTCTCAAGCCTATATTATAATCCTCCTACTTATTCTCTCTGCCAGCCAGTCCTCCCTATCCTTTCTCTGCCTAGCTATTGGCTGTTCAGCTTTTTATTAGACCAATCAAGTGACTTAGGCAGGCAAGGTGAAACAGCAACACATCTCTTCATAGTTAAGCAAATGCAGCATTAACAAATATAACACACCTTTACACAGTTAAAATTATATTCTACAGCATAAACAAATGTAATACATTTTTGCCCAGTTAAAATAATATTCCATACAGACTAGTTCAGTCAGGACTTCAGATAAGCTCTACACTTTCCCATCACACAGAGACTAAACGAAAATAATACAGCTAACTCTCCCAGGACTTGACCATTGTCCCAATTTTCTCAGGGTCTCCTAAAGATGCTGTTGCCCAAGACAATAGGAAGCAGCCTAAAGAACATAATACCCCATTTCCAAGAGGTGGGGTGGATGTTTTCAGTCATTCAATGGATTATTGATGTTGATCATAATTTAAGGTGGTTGGTTACAAGTCAATATTGGTCATGGTCGGGGAAAAAGTTGAGCAAAGGAGCTCATATTCAGGGCCCTCATTTTTTGAGAAGAAAAAAGGCATATAGAAATGATAGGATAAATGATAGATTATTGATTCTACTCTTAAAATAAAAAAGCAACTACTAGTCTTAAATATTTTACATTGGTATAGATTTTTATATATTGATACAAATTTAAGGCTATATTTGTTTCTACTCTCATTTAAGTTGCTTTGCCTATGCAGTTCATTTTAAAAATGTAATGTATAACTAAGAAATACAGGTTAGTAATTAGTCATTTATAATAATCAAACTTGTAGTCATGTTAGGTATGTTTTCAAGGTTAAACAGAAATTGAGTTTAGATAGATAGGTGGTCTTAGAGCACTTCAGAGACCTACAGAATGTGGAATTTAATGTTTTAATAACTTAAGGCTTTTCATGGCAATAAAACATGTCGACTCCAGGCAGCACCAATTTGCTTCAAAAAAGAATGATGGGTATCAAAGAACCTCCATATGGAGTTTGTTTCAATTGTGGAAAAGCTAGTCATTTGGGCAAGAAATTGCCTTTGCTTTGACTGCTGGGAATATGCTGTCTAAATTGGACTAGCAAGACATGAAAGAAGGTAACCGTCAAATTTTTCCAGGACAATGTAGAAAAGTCCTCTAAAATTTTTGCGTCACAAAGTAGTCTCTCAGATATTTGAGGCATGTAGCTTGAAGACGGATGCTTCAACATGGCAAAGGAATCTTGGCTGGCTGTCCAGTCTTCCAGCTATCGCTGTCATTTCTCTACTTTTGGAAGTTGTCTGCTCTGCACTTCCTGTTTACTCAGGTAATATACCTTTCTCGGGTCTTTGAAGGGAATGAAGACTAGCTAGCTATAGTTATAGTCTTCCTTGTTACCAAATTCAAAAAAGAAACCTCACAAAAGACATGTAAAGTGCAAAAGGTTGAGAGACATAAAAGTTTAAGTTGGTTATCTAAAAAAAATATTTTTAGGCCTTAAAAGATATTTTTAGTTTGGTAATACAAGTTATGATAGAAAGTGACTTAGGTTATAACTTTGGACTCACCAAGATAGAATACATAATGGAATAATTTCTTCCAATTTACCAAATACAAATGGACTAGATATTGTAAATGTAATTTTTACCAGATAATTGTTCTTATTGTATATAGTTTTACTATTTTAGAGTTAAAACCTTACCTTTTTAACTAGACAAAAGGGGGAAATGTTGTAGAATATTTGTTTACAATGTGAAGACCTGCCTTTTGCCAAGGAACCTTCTAATTGGCTTAATAAAGAGCTAATTGACAAGTACCCAGGCAGGAAGAGGTTAAGGGGACTTTTGGACAGAGAGAAACTGGGAAGAGGAAGGTAGGTGAGCACTTTTGCCAAGAGAGTCTGAGCAAGTCAGATGTGCCTTACTAAGAAGAGGTAACTGAGCCATGTGATAGAATGTAGATTAATAGAAACAAGTTATAAGAGCTAGTTACGAAAAAGCCTAAGTTAAGGTTGAACTTTCTTAATTAATAGTAAGTCTCTGGGTCATTATTTGCAGGCTAGGGTTCCAAAGATAGTTCAACAAGAAAGATTGCTACGATACACCAAAATAATCCGTTCATCCATTAAGTTCTATTTGCTCAGGCATTTTGTCACAGGTGAGACAAATGACCAACATAACAAAGTGCCGTGACAGATTCATTAACTTAAACCCTCAGTTCTTCAGATGCAGCCCTCATTTTTGCACAACCCAGAGGATGCGTCTCTAGATGCCTTAGAAAACATTCTCTATCAGTTTACAGTGTTCTGCATTTCAGATTTAGGACCAGCCAGTCTCTGAACTTTGAGAAGAAGCTGTAAGGGAAAAAGTATCTCCTGATCAGTAGGGATGAGGAGGACGGCAGGGAGACAGCGAGGGCAGCCTTGGAAAGCAGTGTAGAAAGAAATAGAAGCAAGCAATCTTGTGTAGAACAGGTGTTTGATAATTGCTGATGAGAATGAATGAAACACAATTTGCGACAACATTAATCTGACACATATCTAATGATATGTGTTGTTCTGTGGTAGTTCAGGCCAATAATTTAGTAGTTCACACACATAACTGTAATTAGTATTATTTTTGACAGATCTTTATAGTTTTTAATCTCTTGCTCATCAGTTTATGAATGAGCAGTAATAACCACAGGCTCTTTTTATTTCTCTCCAGCCTCTCAAATCCTAATTTGAGGTGAATCCTAAACAAATGTTCTCATATACTTTCTGAGAAACAGTAGAGGATTTCCCAAGACATGGAGTAGCCTGTGATTCCTCTGGTCTTCACTGCTCCCTGACTATGTCTAGAAAGGAACCTCGTGTCCTCAGAAGATAACAGGGGCATGAAACTGCCTTTCATTGTTGTCAGGGAGGAACCAGAAAGCACAGTCATAGGTAACTAGCATCAGACCTTTTTCTATGTTGCAAAGAAGAAAGGGCCTAAAGGACACAGATCTCAGGAAAGATGCTTGCATTGTAACAGAAAGGGTGCATGCAGATAACTCAATTTCTGACTGAACCTGCTACTGATTAAAGATTTCTTTTATTAAATTCAGAGTGGGGGACTAGAGAGATGATTAAATGCCCTTATTGATTTTTCAGAGATCTCAAGTTCAGTTCCCAGCATCTGTATTGGGATGCTCACAACTGCCTGTAACTCCAGTTCCAGTGTACCTGATATCTGAAGCCTTTTTCTCACTTCTATAGGTGCCTGCACAGGCCTGGTATACACACACACACACACACACACACACACACACGAATTCTTGAGCATTAAAAATAAATAAATCATTAAAATAATTAAATGTAAAATGAATGGCTGGGAACTTGTAATACCAAAGACCCCTTCCAGGTCTACCTTCAACAATTCTGCTCTTAGATTTGCTTTAGGCAGGAACATTTTAATTCAATTATGAGGAGGCATATAGAAATTGTATCTGAGGCAATTTCATATATTACAGGGAACATTGATTTTAATTAGCTAAATAGCCTTCTAGAGAACTAAGTTGCTCCGTGTCCTGTGGTGCCTGCAGTGCTCTCTACCGAAGTAATAGTTCCATCAGCTCAGACACTATGCATTAGCTTCTTGAAGGAAGACCACTTTTTGTTGAAACACTTTTTGGGTAGGGGAACTTTGAAGCATTTTCAGCCCTGTATCAATAAAATCGAGACCTATTATGTTCATATCATAATTTATTATTGTTATTGTTATTCTCCATTTGTGAAATAAAGTTGTCTTACTGCAGTATCATAGAAATGGCTGGAAAAATAATGACAGTTCCAAAAAGCATCTGTGTTACTTTCCCTTCTGAGAATGTGCGTTCTTGACACCACCAGCTTTGCAAGGTTGGGATCTTCTGTTGATTAGCTTTGGGATTCTTTTATAAAAAGATTAATATTTATCCTCATTTGTGCACCTGAGAGCAGGCATCCAAGAAGGTCTGGAGGGTGTCAGATCCCCTGGAGCTGAAGTTCCAGGAGGTTGTAAGCCATGGATGGGGTTCTGGAAACCAACTTTGGGTTCTCTGGAAGAGCATCAAGGCCTCTTAAGCATTGAGCAACCTCTCCAGTCTCCAACGTTGGGTTCCCTGATACATCCGTCATCACCTTAGGTTGGGACAACCCTTGTCAAAGAGAGTGAGTGCTAGAGTTTTCATCTCAAGTAGCTCGTTCCCCAAGCCCATGTCTGTACACACTCATCCTGTCCTGCCCACAATCCTCCTCTCCCCACCCTTCATTCCCCAAACAGCGATTCTGATGGCAGTTCCGAAAATCCTGATGATTGGTTGTGCTTAGCAAAGATAAATCCTACTTGAACAGTGGGTAGCATGCCGTCCAGTCTAGCCAAGAGATGCCACTGCTGGAGTATACTGTACTCTGAGGTGGGCATCTATCCTCATGACCATTGTCTCCTTCTCCAAGGCGACTTTGACCATAAGGCTCTTTCTTAGATGTGGAGAAACAGACCTTAACACCCTGGAAAACAATCTGAAAACTCATTGCAGGATGAACCCCAATTCTGCCAGGTCCTGCTATCTTTCCCTTTTATCCTATTATTGGCGGTTTGAACCGAGGGAACGCGTGACTGTCAGGATAACACGTTCCTTCTTTGATACCGCCCTCACTCTCAAGTCTACCAGGAGGAGTCTGAGCTGAGAATTCCAGCATTGCTCAAAGGACAACTCAAGCCCATTCAGAGAGGAAGACACAGTTTATACACTGTGCAGACTTGGACTCACTAACCACCACCTTCAACACCAGAGCTCACTTATCTTTACCATTGCTACCACATATGAACAGAGCATTCCAAAAGGACAGTTAACCTTCCTGCTACATTCCACCCCAATTTTTGAAAACCTGTGTACACTATAAAACCCAATGAACTAAGGTCTTCTTGAGTATTGCTCAAGTACTCAGCTTCCCTGTGATCTATTTTACTGATGCAAATTCAACTATTTATTATTCCTTTTTGAGACAGCATCTCACAATTTCACCCAGGCTGCCTTGCCATGACCCTCCTGGTTCAACAAGCTGAATCCTGGGATCTTAGCCATGGGCCACCATACCCAGCTGCATAGGATAGTGAACTATTGTGCACACACTCTTCTCTGGGAATGCTGAGCCTAAGAGAACAACTTCCCCTTCGACATGCATACCCACTCTCAGAAGATGTGTTATTGCCAAAGAGAGGAGCTCTGCTCTCAAGAGCAGACCGTATGAGAGGATGAAACAGTCACAACAGCGTTGTCAAAAAATACTTCTGAGGAGGAAAAGGGAGTATGTTAGTAAATATTTGTTCATTTCCACACATTTGCTGATTGTTTGAAATGTTTTGCTTATTCTTATTTGATTTTTACTAAAATACCCATTCTAATCAGAAGACACGATGATACCTGTTCCCAATCCTAGTTGTTTGCTTTGCAAAATTAATTAGAAGCTGGCTACTGTGACTTGGTGAAAGTAGGTTATATTTGCTGAACTTGAGCTGGGATTCTTCTTTTGTTTCGTTTAAGCAAGATTCAGGTAGTTCAATAAATGCCACTTAACTGGGGCAGACTTGATCAGGGAAGTTGCTGAATTGGGAAACCAATTAAGTCTAATGATAATTAGCACGCGCTGCCGCTTAATTGGGATAGGTGGTCCGTTGAGTTGGCATCACCGTAGGTAATTAAATGAGGCTCTTGGAGGTTAAGAGATGGTGTCTTCTTGGTGCTTTCGAGATTGAAGGCAATTTATTTCCTTTCTTGATCATGCTGTTGCTGGTGAAAAAAAAAAAAAAAAAAAAAACAACTCCGTTTCTAAATAACTCCAAAAGTGATGCTGGATCTGAAAGGGCCTGGGCACCTGTATTGTACGTGAATATGTACACAATACACACACACACCTATAACTCTTGACACATGGATTTTGCATTTAAAGAAGTGTCAATAGTGAGATACAGAGCATTTCAGTGACTTATTCAAAGTTGCCGGCATTTAATGATAAATAAAGACAACATGGGCTTCAGAATTCTATTCTCCAGTGTGGCCCAGCACCCAAATGCTCACCCTGTGTGTCTTAGTTCCTTTTCATGTAGCTATCACCAGGTACCAGGCAGGAAGCACCTGGAAGGTTATTTTGGCTCACAGTTTGAGGGGCTAGTGTCCATTACTGTAGGGAAGAAGATGAGGCTGCTGGCCACGGTCTACCCACAGTTGTGAGCTGGGAGCGAACAGGAAGTGGGGCAGGGTGATGACTCTTCACGGCCCAGCCTCAGTGGCCCACTTCTCCCAGCAAGATTCCACTTCCTAAAGATTCCACAAGTTTCCAAAGCAATGCTACCCCTGGGCACCAAGAGCTAGGGCACATCAGCCTATGGGGAACGTTTATATGCAGACTGCAAGACAGTGTGAGCAGAGAGCTGGACGGAGTCTGTGTGGGAGCCCAGGGACTTGGCTCTGGCTGTGACAAGACACTGGCCTCTCAAGCATTCACATGCTTCTTTTATTAAATAAAGGTGCGGGATTAAATAATCACAAAGATCCCTTCCAGCTGTAAAAACACGTGTCTCCAGCTGTTTTATTTAAAAGTTTGTTACTGAGAAGAGAATCTTCATTTTAAGTTTCTATGAAGCCGTCCGTTATTAAGCAAGTCACTGGTGAAAGGTAATGATAATATCAATCTCCACATTAAAACAAAGCAAGACAGAACTTTTATTTCCAAAATGTAGCTGGGTGGCTTTTGAAAGAGATATGCAGTGGGGTGGAGAGGGTAGAAAGGAGAGGAAGAGGATAATTCTGGGATGATTGTGTGTGTGTGTGTGTGTGTGTATGCATGTGTACAGTGTGAAAGTGTGTGTGTAGTGTGCATATGTGCATGTGGTGTGCAGATGTGTGTATGTATGTGTGTGTAGTGTATAGGTATATATGGAACATGCAAGTATTTATGTATGTACATGTATATGTGTGTACATGGTATATGGGCATGTGCATTGCCTGTGCACATACATGAGGAAGCACAAGCAGGACCTTCCGTGTTTACTCTGACCCTTTCTGCCTTATTGCCTTGAGACAGGGTCCGAAGCTCGCTGTTTCAGCTAGGCTAGCTGGCCAGAAGCTTTGGGGGTTTCCCCAACTCAGTCTTAAATGGGGTACTTACAGTCACGCCCTGGGTTTTCCCAGGTCCTGGGTACTCAAACTCTGGTCCTCATATAAATCAAGTGTTCTTACATACCAAGACATCTGTTGAGCTCCTTCTGGAATGATTTCTGACTGTAACATATTTTTCAAAGCATAAAACCACGGCTTGACAAGGAAAGTCACTCCTGTGTCCCTACATCCTGCCCCACATGTGGAAATACTGCTGTCAAGCAACAGAGAAGAAAGTCAAATGTGTAGGATTTCCGGGATGAGCCAAATGCAGAGCCTTGGGTCTGAGGGTCACGTGACTTGAGTATTGCTGGAATTGGCATTTGGAAAAGAGTGCAGACAGAGAAATCAGGTCGGTAAGTCCAAGTAAAACAATACTTGGACAGGACTTGCTAATGAGACGATTCTAATTCACTTTGACTTGGATGCAAGTATAAGGCATGAGATCAGAAGCTACTCCTTTCATCTATTTCCCTTTAAGCATGGAATATTGCCAAGCAATAAATCAAAAAGCTCAGTCACTAAAGAAATATGACGACCACTGTTGTGCAGCATGCAGATTATACCTTCTTAAGGTTTTATCCACTCCTGACTCCTTTCCAACTTAGAAATTGTTTTATAATGCGGGGAGTATAGGTATGTCAAACAGGTAGACAAGTCAGAAATTTACTGTCAAATAACCATTTATTTTAAAAACAATTCCTTGTTATCATCATAGTTAGTGTTCTTATTGCTACAATAAAACACCAGGACCAAAGAGCAAGTTGGAGAGGAAAGGGTTTATTTGGCTCACACGTCAGCATTGCTATTCATCACTGAAGGAAGTCAGGACAGGAGCTCAAACAGGGAAGGATCTTGCAGGCAGGAGTTGATGCAGAGGCCATGAAGGGGAGCTTCTTGCTTACTTCCCATGGCTTGCTCAACCCCCTTCTTATAGAAACTAGGACCAGCAGCCCAGGGATGGCACCACCCACCATGGACTGGGCCCTCCCCCATTGATCACTAAATGAGAAAATGCCTTACAGCTGGTTATCAAGGAGACATTTTCTCAGCTGAGCCCCTTCCTCTGATGACTCTAGCTTGTGTCAAGTTGACACACAAAACCACCCACTATAGTTATACATATATTCTTACCACTTATAAAAAGACGAAAGCACATTTATACACAAGTGAGATAGACCTGCACGTCTGTCTAATACAATACAGCATAAGGATGTGTTAACCTGATAAGTGCTAAGGAATATAGGAGAACACCAAGCTGTTAATTTGGGGAGATAATGGTTAAGATCTTTCCAGAAGACCATTTGCATGTACAATAAGACCACCTCAAGCCACAGCATACAAAGGCTTCCAGTCTAAGCTGTTACAGGCAGTGCTCCTGGTGTTATGTAGCGTGATGGCATGCGCAGTGCAAAAAGTGCACACTGTGTCAGTGACGTCACGGGTGCTGCGCCAGTACTATCAGGAACACTGGGGATTCACACACCTTTGGTTTTGAGTCTTCTTCTTCTTCTTCTTCTTCTTCTTCTTCTTCTTCTTCTTCTTCTTCTTCTTCCTCTTCCTCTTCCTCTTCCTCTTCCTCTTCTCCTCCTCCTCCTCCTCCTCCTCCTCCTCCTCCTCCTCCTCCTCCTCCTCCTCCTCCTCCCCGTCTCCTTCTTTCCCCTTCTCCTCCTCCTTTACTTATTTATTTTTGTTATCCTGCATTCAGAAATTTTATACCGTTGCCAAAATTTTCACAATTCCCACATCCAGTTATGAGACCTTTGTAGGGGTCTCAGCCACAGTTTAAGAAGCTTTGATCTAGACTTTTCCCTGACTGTTCTTTCTTTTTAATTAGTCTCTCAAGTCTCATCCTTTGCTCATTCCCTCCAAGTAGCACCACGGCAGCTCTAGATGGCTGACGACTGCATTTGGAATGCTAGCTCAGTCTGAGATGTCGTCTATTGGCTGCTGAACTTGTGGGTTGCTTGAAATACCTCATTGGCCTGTGAACTGTAAATGCTGCCTAAATATTTATTTTTAAGTTGCAGTATAGATAAACATAGAAATGTATGTAAGCACACAGATAATTATAGTCATGTAGACAGCGTGAGTCAATCTCATATTTTTAAAATAAAGTAATATGCACTCAAAAGTCAGCTTTAAAAATATTTTTTGAACAAGTGAAAGGCTAATTTTAGTTATCTTATCCCTCTGTGCAATTACCGCAAACAGGCTGGTAAGAAGTCGGTGAAATATTCCGAGCTACAAGTTGAGGGAAGGCATGAGATTTAGTCAACAGATAAACGATCAAGTTAAGCAGTGGCTCTCAGCCTGTGGGTCTGGTCACCCTGGGGGTCGGGTAGTAGCTCTCCTGGACATCAGAAATTTACACTACGGTTCACGACAGCAGCACAATTACAGTCAGGAAGTGGAAAGAGACAACTTTATGCTGCTGGTGGTAGTGGGAATCACCCCAATATGAGGAACTGTATTAAAGGGGCACAGCACTAGGAAGGTTGAGAAGCACTGAAATAAATAAGCAGACCCCCCTCACCCCCCCCCCCCAGTGGGCTGCTTCCCGTTCAGAAACCATCACACCTGAAATCCATGTTCAGGCATTTCCCAGACAGATGGGTGCAGTCCTAGAGACAGAATGTACTCCCTCCGTGTTCTATGATACAATTTGCCCACTTCTTAGAGTACTCAAATTGGAAGTTTACTTCTGGAGTTAACTGAACTTTGTCACGTTGTTTTGTGTCTCATATGGCTCTTGAATAAAGACGCCTCTGGTGAATAGACCTTGGAAACACTTCTTTCATTAGGGGAAAAAAAAAATAAAGCTATCCATCTGGCGTTAGGAGCCTGCGTGTCAGTAAGTCAACATTATTTCCTTGAAGTTTGCTCTTCTCAGCCACTTGGGAAATGCAGCCAGGCGCACAGGGAGGAGGACTGGGGGCAACTGGAATAAACTGTCCAGCCGAGCTCCTTCACCACGGGGACGAGGCAGTTCCCTGCAGCTCCAGCGATGGTGAACTTTATACTTCACAGATTTCCTTGCTTGATTAAAAATGTGTTCATGCTTAAAGGCAGACTCTGGTGGGGCTCCAAAGAAGGCACAACTCCACAGAGAGACCTGCCAGAGGGACTGTAGAGAAGAGCTTTTTAGGGAGTATGATTTTGTTTGAGAAGTTATGAGAGATGAGTATGACAACGTCTCTATAACTCAACGGTGGGTTTTCCGACTCAGCTCATGTGGAAGCCAAGTTGCACCTGAGCAAACACTGCAGGGTGCAACAAATGAGGAAAACTGCTTTCTGTTTGCAACCACAAATGTTGCAGTAGCTTCTGCACAGATTTTAGGGACACATTTTTTTTTCCTCATGTGAAGTCACTTTGAGTGAAATTGCAAGATAAATTTGACTACTGCGGTCAATCAGAGTTGCTCTATAGTCATGGCCTCCGGGACACCCGGCCTGTAACTACTCAGGAACATTGTCCAGAGGAAGAGCTCCTCAGTCCCCTCACCTGGCAGGCACACTGATATCATTGCACTCGGGAAGGGTACGTGTACAACACAGAAACCGACAGAAAGCACCATCGAAAGGTGGGTACTAGCTGGGAAATAGGCTCAGTATTTTTAAAACTTGATA